CTCCCATACACATGCCTCCCGGTCTTATTCCACCGGGTTTATACTGGATATGGGGTGTGGGCTTGGAGCTGTGGGTGGTGCAGCGCAAGCCACCCATGGTCCCTCTGTAGGCGCAGGCGTCCTGTGGCTGGCAACAGTGACAGGCAAATCCGAAACCGGATGCCGCCAACCATGTATGTATGTGTGCCCCACGTGGAGGCTGATGTTGCATTTTTGATGCTTCTTCACCGCAGTTGGGCTAAACCAACTCACACTTAAACTAGGTCTTTTCAGGCTGGATAAATCTCATTCCACTTTATTTGATTTGCTCTGCCTACCTGAATAATCTTCTATTAACTGGCCACGTTGCTTACGCTAATTGCGTTTATATTCGGTAATTTAGTTGTGTTTGTAGCATTTTTGAGTAACTTGTGGATATTTCTTACTTGTCGCGGTTTCTGTGGTAACCAACTTACTTCATATGATAATTCAGCGAAGAGTAATGCTACAGTGTCTATATGCATTATTGAATCTATTTAATTTCAGCTTAACGTCTCAAGTGAATGGCTGTTGCTTGATATCCCCGGTGTGGCTGCGCTTGATGTGCATGTTGACAAGGTGCCTACCTGTCTATTACTCACTACCTTGTTCATACTGGCTCCAGGAGACAGCTGGGCGTTGCTGGAGGGGAAGGGGTGCACGTTCCTTGTGGCCGTGCTAGGCTCGAAGAGTGGTTTCATGCACTCAGTGTGGAGCCGACTACGGTCCAGCCAGCGCCTTGTGGGTAATTCACTCCCAACTACAGCGTGTTTGTGTTTGTCTGTGAAGGAGTGTGGGCCGGCTCCGTTGATGAAATGTGGCTCCCATACACATGCCTCCAGATCTTATTCCATCAGGTTTACACTGGATATGGGGTGTGTGCCTGGAGCTATGGGTGGTGCAGCGCAAGCCACCCATGGTCCCTCTGTAGGCGCAGGCGTCCTGTGGCTGGCCATAGTGACAGGCAAATCCGAAACCGGATGTCGCCAACCATATATATATATATATATATATATATATATATATATATTCATTAATTGAGTACAGATAATGTCACCAGAACCATGGCAAAATAAAAGGGGGAACAGAACACAACACGAGAAAATGATTTGTTTCGGTTTTATACACGCCGGGCTGAGATCGTTTGTGTTTTGGAGTTTCGTTTTCGATGAAATGCTACCTAATAGATAGCACGGTTGAACAGCTCTATCTTCACTGATACCCGTTGCGCGCCACAGCCTCCAACATTTCTAACCACTGGCAATCCGATTCGAATAGTCCACATCCTGAAAAGCGGACGTATCCGACGGATGTTAAGCTTGAGGTTGCATTATGCATGCTCCTTCTCCACGTTATTGGTTGTCAACCGCGGAAGATTTTCCATTCGCTTCCGGGGAGCGCATAAAACGCTCAACGGGTAAGGCGATAGGCTGGCATGCGCAATACGTGGCCGAGCCAACGCATACAGTATCAGAGAACAACGGTTTGGAGGCATGGGCTGTTTGTTCCAAACACTCGCTCTCGGACTTTCGCATTACTCACGTCATGCTGCCACTGCACGCGAGCAATTCTACGCACGCAACAATTGCCGAAAAATGGCAATAGTTTTGTCTTCCGAGCAAGTCAGCCAGATCTCACAGATGTACAAGAGGACCGCACGGACAGAGGCAATGTATACTCTGCCCTTGAGTTTGAGACTGACGTCGCGACGGCGCCATAAGTGCCTCAGTCTGATGAATGCAAGGCGGGCCTTTGCGATCCGTTGTGAGACCTAATCTCTAGTACATCCACCAGCTGTGATGCAACTCCCAAGATAATTGAAACAGTGAACTTGTTCCAGGACGTCACCAGCAATGGTGAGGGCAGACACGGGCATCTGCCAATCCTGGAGTAGCATTTTACATTTGTCTGGCGTGAAACAATGGCCATACTTAGATGCCTCTATCGCTATGCGGTTCAGAGCACCCTGGACGGCTTCTGGATCGTCCACATGCAAGGCGATATCATCGACGTAGTCCAAGTTCGCAACTCTGTCATCTGGAAGAAGCTCAATAGGGTAGTTTTGAGGGCCTTTAAATGCTCGTCAGACGACATCTTTAGTGGCAAAATTGGAAAGGAAAGGTGATATGGGGCAATCTTGGTGCACGCCGCTGATGATAGCAAAAGAAGTGGAAGGCGTGTCGTAAGCTCTGACTTTGCCAGATGTGTGACTGTACAGATCATAATGGATGTTTACAAACTTGTCGGGCACACCTTTCCTTAGTAGACAGTTCCACAACAAAAGATCAAACTATAGAGTCAAAAGCCGCTCGGATGTCCAAGAACACTACTATCGTTGGTTCTCGGCGGACGTGACAGAGTTAAAGAAGTTGGCGAAGTGTAAAGATGTAATTATTGCAACCTCGATCTGGACGGTGATCCGCTTGTTCCTCTCGGGAAACGCCCTCTCTAGTCACTAAGAGCCTGCGGAGTAGAACAGACATGAAAATCTTGCACGCAAGAGACCAACGAAATTCCGCAGTAATTGGCGCAATCCCCGTGGGAGCTTTTCTGGTGAATCGGATTCTAGATATGCAATTTGAATTTTCTCGTCCATCCAAATGCTCGTGAACAGTGATAGCATTTCGTTGACAAGTGCAATCTCATCATCTTTGAAAACAGCTTGGGGTAGGCTGTCAGGAGTCTTTTGACGCTTCAAAAATTGGATTGCGCTTCGGATCTCTGTTTCGGTAGGAGCATCTGTGGCCATATGCCAAGCACCATCCGAGGGAAACGGAGGTGTCAAGGTGGGCTGTTCTAATCAGTTAAATTGGAAAGCAAAGTTCTCTACCCAGTGACCCAAGCGTCTGTGTACATTGGTGATTTTCTTGCAGTCTGGCTAGCAAATCGTCTGACTGGCAGCATGTGAATTACAACCAGTGGTCTTGATGAGGTAAAATAAACTACGGAAATTTCCAGCCGACATGGCTTAGAGCCGACCTCAATGGGGTTCGTGCTGAGTTTCTTTGGCCCTCCTCATCCTTCAGCCTCACCCTCCAAGCACGACCTCATTTCTTAGCAGATAATTTTATATAATAATTTTCTTTTGCTTAGTACCCGGCTGGTAGCTTTCCGGAAGGATGCCCATCCGATATTGGTAGCTCAGGTGACATGCAACTGTTGCACTTCTTATCTTATGTATTGCGGCACAGTAGCTGAGGTGTTTTCCACCTCCAGCTAACGTGTATAATGAATGATGATGACGTAAATCGAAACAAGCAGGACATCACTAACACGAGTTATTCGGAGTAGAAGAGGTGTGCAGAAAATTTATTTACCAGTTTTCGCCCCGCAGTTAATGGGAGCGTTAGCTCAACAATGCACCTTCATTTCGGCAAATGTTTACCGATCTTGAGAGAGTCCCAGAGTTGAATGATATGTATGTGGCTGTTCATGTATAAAACGGTATCCACAGTCTGTAACGAATGATCCCGACAAAGTGAGCTCCATAAGCGATGGGCTGGAGACAAGAGATATTCAATCTTCGCAGATATAACCCAAGTTTCGTTTATGTAGGTGCAGTTATTGTTCTGCATGTGTGTTCCGGAGACAACGCACACTAATGCGGAGATCGAAAAATCCCAGTGTTGACATTGACCGAACTGACAGTGTGTGTGCGTTGAAGGAGTCAGTATGGAATGGTGCACTAGGTTTGAAAGACTGATTCTTCTTGAGTGGTGTGGTTGAATAAAATCAGTTGTGACCTGTTGCCGCTTAATAAGGGACTCGAAAACTAACGAAAAAAAGCGCTAGTGACGGGGTCCTGTGCATTGGCGAGGTCTATTCTGAAACAGTTACTTCGTTCTGGCTTCGCTAATTCTGGAATTTGACTAAACAGTCTAACTGACAAAGCAGCGTAGTAAATAAAGGCTTATCTGGTGATTGCGCCTACAGTCGTTGGTGCGAAAGCCTAATACAAAAGTGAAACCGAGGTTTATCCGAATGTGACTGTAAAGTCACTGCGATTTAGTTGAGGCTGACCCAATGTCTTCTCGGAAGACCCCAAAACATAAGTAACTGCGCATGTGGCTCGATCACAGCTGAGTATGCAACTGTGGATACAGTCAGGCACTGGTGATATTTACCGAGTTTGCGCCATCTTGCGAAAAGATGTCTGGTTTGAGACGAATGATAGTAAAACAGTGAGTAAAGGTTGTGTTGAATATTGCCTGTGACGCATGTGATGTATGTCAGTCAAGCTCAGCTTCTAGCTCGTAACTGGTCTCTCATAGCTAGTTGTTAGAAGGAGAGAGCTATCGGCCTCTCACAGATTGTCAATAACTTGGACACTGAAACCAAATTTGCGTAAACTCTGCCCAATGACTTGTCTCAGATGAGTGATTCTGAAAGTGGACGGGAAGCGCCACTCAGGGTGGACCAATCGATCACAGAGACATACAAACTATCCCACTGTGTGATGGTATCATTTCGCCAACCTTACCAAGTACAGATAAATGCATCGTTTTATAACAGCTGGAATGAAGAGGGTGCAAAAGAGGCACTTGTAATCGTTGTGGCAGGAGACGAAGCACTAGGCGCTACCCATATATCCTGATGACCGACTGAGGATTACGTGACCTATTGCATATGTGATCCCATGGATTAAAGAACAAGGCACGTGACAAGTACTAATAGCGCATTTGCCATCGTCCACTGGCTGAACTACTTGTTCAAGAAATGTATGATGCAGCTTTTGTGCAACAAAACTGACTGCGATGCGGAGTAGAGGAAGCTGCGGAGACACTGCTGACGTCACCTAATTTTCCCACGAAAGTCAGGTATGTATGAATACGTGTTGCTTGCAAGGTGCCTCCATTCTGAGTGGTTGTTCGGACACCCAGTAAAAGTGTTGGTGTACCACTGTCACTGTTGAGAATGGCAAAAAAACAGTCGGGGAAAAAGGCAAATTAAAACTATAACACACTATGGACCATTAGACTCACCGTCTACGACTGCCCACAACCGCAATTTCCGGTCGAATCCACCTGAACCGAAAAGTTTACCGGAAGGAGTGAAGCGTACGCTGTTGACCTCACCCTCACAAGCATTCTAAAACATGGCTATATGCATCAATTTGATACTTACAAATTCCGATAGCATTTTATGGGGGACAACCGAGGGGCATGCAGCGGTGCAACCGGAGAGAGCGCTAGCAGAATAATTCAAGAGAAAGAACTCACGGCTCGCCTACAGAAATACTGGCAGCATCAGCCAACTGTTTGCGGATTAACTCCTGAGTTTTCCTAAAGAATTATTGTAAAAATAGAACACACCTGTAATTTACATCGTGCTCAATATTCTTAAGATTTTCCACTATCTTTTGAAGCTTGCTCATGCGGTCAATTAGTTTCACGCGGTCATCTTCCAGATCGCGATTTTTAGAACGTACACTCTCCAGCATGTCGGCAGTTGCTGACTTCTCTTCTATCAAAAGCTTATCAAAGCTATACTAGTGAATTAAAAATAAACCTTATTTGCTTTCTCAAGACTATGAACCTCGTCCAACAGTCTGATATTTGCAGCTTGTAGCTTTTTGGCGTCCTGTTCAGTCTCAGCAATTCTAGAGATTTATAGATAATGCGGAAAGCCAACTTTGTGCTATTTAAGCTTAATGCTTTGTCCTTCTCCTGAATTGATTTATTCAGCTCGATAACATCATTAGCTAGCTGGGTCAGTGGTCACACAACTATGAACAACGATTACCAAGCCCTTTTGGCGATGCAACTCAGTGACTTCTTCCTGTAACCGAAATACCTTCTGCTCGTAATCGTATGACTTGATAGCGCTCCTGTGAAGATTAAAAAACGGATATCTTACGCTTTCTCGAGTTTTAGTGAAAGTTCTACATTTTCTTGCCTCAAAGACTTCAATTCACCTGCCTTAGAGGCAATATCCTTGGTGAGCTGACAAACGTGATCGCGCAGTTTAGAATCTAAAAGTACGGACCAAATTAGCAACTTACAATCACTGAAAATCGCTTCAAAACAAGTACTCTGTATATGGTCCCTCCTCTCTAAGGCAGAGATTATGCGCCCCTTCCAAACGGGATTATCCATCCAGGGAAGACAGGTCAAGTAAATTTCCAAGGAAGAAAATAGGCTCCCGCTTAGCGAGTGTCCTGTTTCTTGTACCGGAAAGAAAACCAAGGCCCCACAGTAGTTCGACTTCTTAGTTGTCTTCCTTGTCCCTGAAAAAGGAATGAAGCAAGACAAGAGCGCCCTCTGTACTTTCTTGGATCATGGACCTCATGGTCTATTACAATTGCCAATAAATTTAAACCAATTAAGGAAAAAAGATCCGGCCAACACTTCTCCAGGCCGTTTTTGAAGGCTATTACAGTGACAAAATTATAGTAGAACAAAGTTTGTTCCAATTATGAACAACCTGATTTGCGAAGAAGTTGGCCCTTATCTCCAACCTGGACCTTAAGTTCATGACCCGTAGATGGTCGGATGTAGCAAGTTAAAGCAAATCGGACGGCTTGATTCCGCTTAAACCATTCATAATCTTGAAGGTTTCTAGCAGGTTCCCTCGTACTATGCACCGCTCCATAGAGAACAATCCTAAGCCCCAAAGGCGTTCTTCGTATGATTTCCCGCGCTGGCCCACGATCATCCTAGTCACAAGGTTTTGGGCTCTTTCTATGCATAGCACATCCTTCCTGAGATACGGCGCCCATACCCGCACATAGTACTCTAGGTGAGTTCGTACCACCGCCTTATATACTGGGAGGAAAACCTCTGGCTTGGGGTTGCATAACGTTCTCTTGAGGAAGAATAATTGCAGCCATGCATTGTTGGCGGCATGCTGACACTGTGTTATTTTGAAGGTATACCTCATAATGATACTCAAATCTCGAGCCATGTCAACGGACCGCAATGTCAGCGTACCGGCAGTAGTTTGCACTGTAACCCCATCACTGCTGGAAGACAACAAGTGAGTTACTTGTATTAAGGGGCAAATCCCATGAGGAAGACCAACTAGCTAAAGTGCAAAGATCCTTTGACAACGTGCCTCAATCGCCTCTGTTTACGTTTTGCACCGTCTGCGAAAAAATAGCAAGGGTTCACGAGGAACAGAGCCAAATCAATGATATATGAAAGGAACAACAGCAGGCCTAAAACAGAGCCCTGAGGTACACCACTGTGAGCAGCACCCTTGTAATATGCTTCCAGTCTATCGTTTCCAGCTCTTCCGTGTCCAAATAGTATTGAGTTCATTGAGCTGTAGAGAGTAGGAGGGAAAACCCTCGTCAACCCCATCAATTCCGTACTCTACTGGATTTGAGGCGTGTCGTTGCGTTACGACGTTCCTCGAGGGTACGTCGCAAGTGCAGTGACAATCGCAAGATTCCAGCATTCTCAGCGAATGTTTGTCTAGCAGCCGCTTGAAACTTTCCTCGGATAGCACATCTGCAACTTCCGGTAGGCCGTTCCAATCATACGCCACTCTAGTGGACAGGGTGACGTCCATGCGAATTCTGTTTTCTTTGATTAAATAGTTTCCATATGTGACCTCGTGTGGAACAGTCAGTGTTGGGCCGGAAGAATTGTCGTAACTTAATTGAAAGTTCTCCTCGAAGGATGCGCCTAGTGTAGATGAGATCACCCCGGCGACGGCGGAGCTCCGGTGAAAACAGATTTAGCTGCTGGAGTCGAATGGGGTACGGGAGACCATGAAGCCCCAGAACAGCTTTCGATGCACGTCTCTGAAGCATTTCCAGCAGAGTGCATTCAAACTTTAAATGCGGATGGATAGCTGGTAGGCCATATTCTAAGACTGAACGGACGTACGAAGTGAACAAAGATAGAAAAATTTCGAGTCATTCGAGCGAATGACCTTAAGGCACCCACCAGTCTCCTTCCAGTGGCCACCTTTAAGGTGCTCTGCGACGTTCTAAGGTCAAAAGTCACGATAACCCCGAGATTTCTCACGTGAGTAGTATTCCTGAGGAGAAATCCACTAGTGTAATATGCACCGTACGGTTCAGTGCTACCTATTGGGAGAACAGCGCATTTAGCTCAGTTTACCGACAATGCCCACTTGAAGGATCATTCATGCAGCTGGTCTACAGCCCCTTGTAATCTGTTCGCATCCTCGAGGCTGAATACTGTTGAGCATAGCTTGAGGTCATCTGTGTAGATCAAGCACTCGGTTTGAAGTGCAGTCGGCAGATCGTTAGAAGCACAGTTTGAAGAGCTCTGGTCCAAACGCTGATCCTTGGGGAACGCCACTAGTCACAGGCACAGGAGCAGAGAGGGTTTGGTACACTTGTACGCGCATTGTCCTACCTCTTAAGCAATCGGCAATCCAGGAGAGAATATTTCCTGTAATGCTAATTACCTGGAGTTTATGTAGCAGTCGTACGTGTGGGACTTTAGCAAAGGCTTTACTAAAGTTAATGAATATTACGTCAACTTGTTTGCGGACATCTATGACTTTGCCCATGTCTCCCTGGCGATGAGTAAGTTAGATTCATGAGCGTGCTCTCGGTAAGCCAATATTGAGGGTGATATGATGTTTAGGTTCACACAGTGTAGCTGGAAGGCGTACTTGACTAGTTGTTCCATGGTTTTGCATATGACTGATGTCAGGCATATTGGCCGGTAGTTCGCTGGGTCTTGTTGGTTCCCCCCCCCCTTGTATCTGGGCAGGACAGTAACTGTTTTCAAGCCTGGAGGTAGGCAGCCGACTTCGAGGGATTGCCGAAATATTTGGCAGAGAGGGGTGGTGAGGTACTCATCTATCGTTTTGAGGAACCTAGGATGCAATCCGTCCCGGCCTGGAGAGGAGTTCGGGTCCAGTTCGAGGAGTAGCTTAGTGACTATCTCGGGGTTAAATTCAACTTGGTCCATAGAGGAGCAGTGTACAAGCAAACAGTTGTTGAGCGGCGGAGATTCCACTGAGTAGACCGAGGAATATTGCGCAGCCAGGTTTGCTTTTTTACTATCGTTGTAAAAAAGGTGCCTTATAGTGGACTTGTTGCTATATGTCAGGTTCGTCTAGCCTCAAGGAAAAGTCGGAAAAAGACGGATATATAGGCTAGATAGACGTTTGTTGTCGAAACGCACAATGCCGCTAGCTGAAGTCACCGTAAAATGGATCTAGCAAGGGGAAAAGTATAGTCGCACGCCGGGACGCAGCAAACGCTCTCCGAGGCGAAAAAGTCGGAAGCGCGCGATTGCGATTCGTTTGGATGACTCAAACACAAGTCGTCCTCGTGCGAACAGACAAGTTTCCTAAATGTTCTATGTATACAATGATATTATATATTTGAATATGTTACACAGACTGACAGGACCATCTCCGGGTCACTAAAACCTTCCTTAGCAGAGGATACAGCGGGGGATCCACTACCCGTTTTGGCATTTCGCCTGGTAGGCAAAACGTTTTTGGGACAGTTTTTGGATTTTACAGCTAGTCCATGCTCATATTGTAGTCTTTTGTCTCATTTTTCAGGGTGCATAGGTTTCTGATAGTTCTGTACTCTAAGTAGCTTGACGTCAGTGCTAAGAGATTGAAATAATCCCATAGTTTCCGTAGTCTTTTCATTAATGGACCATACTTCCTTGTCAATCCATGCGGGTGTTTTGATGGTGATCTGCTCCTGCAGTTTGGAACAAACTTCAACGAGCAGCATCAACAACAACAGCAACACATCAGCCATGTGTACTGACGCTCCGCTGCCATACAATCAAGAAAACCTGTAGAATAAAGAATATCAAGAGTAAGATAAGGGGGACGTACCTGAAAACCTTAATACTCTAAGCAAACATTCAGGGCCAAGGCGCCTACACCTTTTGTAGACAACATACCGTCACAACCACCTGGCTATCGTGCAAAGATAAGGCGGTATCAGAGAGACAGCTTCCTTGTGGCTTTCACTGCCCCACGTCATAATCAGCCATTACCCAGCAGATAACTCAGCACCAAACACACTTTAAACAGGCAATCTGATTAGGAGACGGCAGAAGACGCGCCACTGGTGTCGGCTACGAGCCATGTCCTGTAAAGTCTCGAGCCAAGCACAAGGCGAGTCACGTGGACTCCAGCCCGGAAGACGAGACGGACTAACGGCACCCAGTTTGGTCGTCAGTGACTTCATTTCTGCTGCTAAGTTAACTTCTGTCCACCTCGAGCCTTGCTCCACCCTACATCTGACAGACTAAACAAGGTCGATCTAGGTAAGCGGTGACCAGGCATACGTAGCACCTGCTCGAGCCAGCGCAAGTTATTCAGTGCTATCTGCTGTTCTAGGAAACTAGCATGATTATCACCACCTAGTACTCGCCTACGCACATCATCGTTGCGGACACGCTGGTGCCATCCGATACCAGCAATGCTTCGCAGACAAAGATGATCAAAGATTTGAAGGCGCCTCAGATCTTCAGACCGAAGGGGCCAAGTCTCACTACCATAGAGCAGGACGACTCTCACTGTGACCTTGTATACGGCCTTGCAGACGGAGGGAAACTCCCTTCTGTCGCCAAAGATGCCGCAGGTTCAAGAAGGTAGTTCTGGTTTTTGCAATGCGTGAACTGACGTCAGTTTCTATGCGCCCATCATTGCTGATGCAGCTGCCAAGATAAGTGAAATGGTCAACAACCTCAAGTTCCTCATTAGCAAGGGTCAAGGGATCATAAAGTGGCTGGTCGTTCTGCAGCAACACTGCACTTTGGAGGTGCAAAGCGCATAGCAAATAATGGGACTACTCTAGATAGGCTATTAAGGGTTGAGTGTGCCACCGCAACATAGTCGAAAGGCAAGACGATATCGCCCGCATAATCAAGGTCAACTAAATTTCCACCAGGCAGCACTTCAACGCCTACATCATGAGATTCCGCAAGAGAACACCTCATGATAGAATCCACGACGAAATTGAATAAAAATGAGGAAAGCAGACAACCCTGACGAACGCCACTTGTGGTCGGAAAGCTATCCGACAGATCACCATAGACCCTGACGCAGCTTGTAGTGTTCGAGTATAGAGCAAGAAGGATGTTCACATATTTCGTGGGAACACGTTTCCGCGCAAGTATTTCGAACAGAATCGATC